TAGCGTATAGGCCTAGGGCCCGAACCTCGTCCCCGTCTTTCCCGCTAGCCGCTAAAAGCGTAGCCCGTTTAGTGCGCGACGGTAAGAGGCCGGTACGTAGCTCCCCGGAGGATCCCCTCGCTTAGCCCTACTAGATACCGTTCTAGAATCCCGAAGGGATCGCGAAGGTCGAGGGTATACTAGCCTAGTATATCGCCTAGTCTACCCACGCCGCCGAGCTTCTTATATTTAAGGTATTCTAGAAGATTGGAGCCCGCCGCACGAGGACGGAGAAGGTACTAAAGAAACTATAGACGCGGATAGAAGACGTCTAGGATTAAGAGACGAAATAGGGGCTTCGGCGCCTCGTCGAGCGATTAACTACTAGTCTAGAAGCCGAGAATAGGGCCCTCCGCGCCGGAGCGGAGCTCTATAATACTAACTACGATACGGCGGTTAAGAACCTTATACGAGCTATCTACGCCCTTACCGGGCTAACCCTAGACGAGTACGCCACGGTATTTCTAATAAATACCGGAGCGGAGTAAGCTAAGTCGTATAGCCGGCTCTAGAGCCTTCGCCTTCCTAAGGGATAGTTTACCCATCCCGACCCGAACGAGGACGAGGCCTTAGCTACTAATATTAAGGCCGGGACTACGTTCCCCGCCGCCTACTACGAACGGCTAGAGCCGAAGCTAAAACCGATTAAGAAGAGAGCCGTCCCCCCCTCGTTCGAGTCGCCGTTTACTAAGAGACGGCTAATCGATATTAACTCGTCGTCTAACGACGAGGACGCCGTAAAATAGATACTAAAAAACCCTACCCGACCTTTAGGAACGAGTAGTATACGTCCCGGGAGATAGTAACGTTAAACTATACCGACGGTATTCTAATAGGAAGGGCTATACTCTCTTTTATTTTTTCCTTTTTCTAGTTTACGATTACTAGAACGTAATAGTAGTAGCCTAGGGCTATTACGTATCGGAGGAACGGCTTCTATTTTTACTTTCTTTAGATTCGTCTCGCGTTCTTTAGCGAGGCGTTAGCGGATTCTTTCTTTTCTTTATATTCTAAAGTAGTAATAGTAGTAGCTAGACGCTACCGCGTATCGGAGGAATAGTTATATTTTATCTTTTCCCGAGTGGCTTTCTCTTCTTAACTTCGTTAGTAATAGTAGTAGTACGGAGCCACTACGTATTAGAAGAACGGATTTTTTTACTTTACTACTTTCTTCTTTCTACCTCCGCTTCCTAATCCTCGGTCGTACTAGTTTACGCTACCTAGACTTCGAGCCCTACGTTAAGCTATAATAGATCGCGATCTATAACAGGTCTCGACCCGTTAAAACCGGCCCCCCGGAGGTGTTATAGTCCTTAAGTCTAGAGTCGATACTAGTATTACCTTCCTACTTCTAATACCGGGGTTATCTTTCTACTTCCGATACCGGGGTTATCTTCTTACTTCCCGATACTAGGATCGCCTTTTTATATTTCGATCCTAGTATCTAGTTCTAGATATCTAGTTCCTAGAATCGGTTTCCTAGTATAGAGTTCTCTTTAGGTAGCTACGCTAGAGTAGATACGAGTTCTCGATCCTCGCGGATCGAGACTCGACTATTATTAATTATACTTTTTCTTACTCGAGACTCCGTCTACCGTAATTCCACTGCGGATAGTATTATAGGACGCGATTATATCTATAGTCGGAACCCGATCCGTAAAGGAAGGGGATGCCTAAATATAAGAGTATTATAATTTAAGAATCGTAATCCTAACGACTACGATCCTACTATAGAGAATTTAAGGTATAAACTTAATCCTACCTAAAGCCGGAACTACGACTCCCGACTATAGATATTCTTACCCCGTTACCCTCCCCCCCTTAACGACCGGCGCATGTCTAGTTATATAACGGGGAGCTTTCTTCATCCTATCTACTTAAGGGGGAGTCGAACTCGCCTATATAAGAGAATCTTTACTTAAGGGAGAGTCGAACTCGCCTATATAAGAGAATCTTTACTTAAGGGGGAGTCGAACTCGCCTATATAAGAGGAATTTAACTAGGGGGGAGTCGTACTCGCCTACTTAAGATCTAGAAGTTTACTATTTTTCTTAAGAGCCCTCGCGTACTTACCGCATATATAGAATAGTATAATACTAGCTTCCGACTTATAAATATTTCTACGTAAGTACCTATTCTTTATTCTTTCGTAGGGCCCGTTATAGTACCCGTATACGGTTTTAGACGTCTAGTCCTTTAAGAGCTACTTATTAGCTCGGGCTTCCTCTAGACCTACTAGCCGATCCTTACCACCGTATATCTTCCGGTAACTATAGTAGTTTACGTAGATATAGCTCTATAAGGGCTTACTATTATCGATAATCTACTTAAAGGTCTTAGTTATACGATAGTTCTCGGCGGTATAAACGCGCTCGCTCTTAATTAGCTATAGACCCCTATACTACTAGGTAATAGACTAAATCCGGTTTAATCCCCTTCCACTCTAGGGGAAGGGATTAGGAAAAAGCGCTAAACGAAGCTTACTAGCTACTTAGCTATACTAGGCGCCGACTATATCCGGGGGAGCTAGAAACGAACTGGTCTAGTTACTAACGACGACCGAGTCGAAGTAGACTATATACTACGACTTAAAGGTTAGTATACGAGGCTTATTAGCGTTAGCCCTATCTACGGTAAATAAAGCCCGGATATAGTTCTCCGCGCTAGGCTTTAATATCTTATCGATAAAGTCTATCTTACCGGGGTTGGTTCCGGTCTTAATATTACTTTTATAGCTCCTCTACCTATAAGCCATCCCCTTAGATTTATTATAAGACGAGCCGACGTACGCTATAGGCGGTTAGTCCGGTAGTTCTACGACACCGATATAGTTACTAAACTTCTTAAGCCGGTCCTACGAAGGACGCGATAGGCGTAAAATATCGGGTACTTAGAGATCCGGTATACTAATTACCGTAATAACCTCGTCTTCGACCGCGTCTAGTAACTAGCCGACTAGATATCGTACGTCCGCCGTCTTTATAAATTACTAGAAGATTCTAGTAGTACCTATTCTCTCTAGCGGCACTCTAAAAGAATTAACCGACTTAGTTAAGCTCTATAACTTAGTAGTAATTACCGTTATAGTACTCTTATAGAACTCCCACCGACGATCTAACTCCTCGCTACTAATCTACGACTTCTTAGGGCTATACTTACTAAAATTAATATAAGTCGTATCGAGAGCCTCCTTATTATTAACGACTTCTTCCTCGTCTTTATTCTCGTCCTTAATATCTTTATATCTAGACCGTATAGCTAGACGACCTAACTCTTTATTAATTAAATTATCTAGAACCTCCCGTTCCCGATTCGCCTTCTCCGCTTCGTTATTAGTAGTAGTATTCGAGCGGCGTTTCTTCTTAGCGGTAGGCTGGGGCTACTTACGACTTTTATTAACCGGCGGCTCGTCGTCTTCGTAGTCGTCGTAGTCGTCGTCGTCGTCGTTATCGGTCGACGAATCTAGAACGAAGTCGTTATAGTTATCCCGCTCGCGCTTACGGTTTCCTACTTCGTTATTATTACGGCTAGACGTACTAGCTTCGGAGGACTTAGTTCCGCTACGTATTATAACTATACTTATAGATAAAAGTATAGTAAGCTTCTTATTATATATATTCTACTTCTTATTTCTATTCTATTCGTAGTGTGAATCGTAATCTCGAAGCTCAATAGTAGAGTAGAAAGGGGGTAGGAGACGTCTAAAGTTTTATTCTTAGCGGCCTAACGTAGGCCGTAGGCGTAGCCCACTATAGAGGAAGGTACGACTATTCGCGTTAATTTAATAACGCCGCTTTATAGAGTAGGGATAATCTTTATCTAGCTCTTACTATATATAAGTTCTCGAGGTAGTCCGCTATAAGGATATCTATTACTTATAGGGGAGCGTTTATACCGCGGAACTAGTCACGGTCAACGTATTCTAGAAGCTATATACGAAGATAAAGAGGATAAGTAAGGCAATCTATATCTTTTCTAATACTATCGACGACGTAAAAGACGCCGTAGCGCACTAAGAGTTTAGGGCCGCGTTAGCGGGGCTAGAACGGCACGCGGGTTACTAGAATAACTTATAGGATAGATCGTAATATTTATAAGTAATGCCTTCTTCCTTATTTTAATTCTCGTCCTCGATATATCTATACCTAGACCGTATACCTAGCTAGATAGCCTATCTCTTTATCCCGTAAATTATCTAAACTTACCCGCTCTCGATTCGCATTCTCCGCTTAGTTATCGGCTATAATTTCGGAAGCCGTAGACTTCGAGGGGCGCTTTCTATTATCGGTAGGCCGTAGGGCTACTCGGTAGACTTACGGCGAGACGTCGTTATCTAACGTTATATAATAGCGTAAAGGGTAATTACGCCCCGTCTCGCTGCCTCGTAGCTACTATATCTATAGTAACTATTTCTAAATAGTCTAGTCTACGTTCGGATAAGCCGACTCGCTAAAGAGAAGAAACGTAGAGATCGAGAGAAAATAATTTCTCTCGATCTCTACGTTTCTTCTCTTCTTTTTTTCTCTCTAGCCCCGAAAGTCGACTAAGCTCCTAATCCGTAAGCTCCTATCCTAGGATCGCATTTATAGCATCTAGAAGTTAAGTCTAATCATAGCTTTTAGTCTAAGATATTACTCCTTAAGTCGGATCTCCGCTTCTACTTAAAATATCTTACTTTACAAGTTAGTTAAGCCTCTTATTTATAATTACTCTCGCTTTCGGTTACTAATATGCAGCTCTAAATCTATAAAATCCTCTCTCTAAAATAGAGATTCACGCCTAAAACGTTACTATTAATAACGTAAGTTATCTTTATTCTTTAGTCTTTACAGATTTTACGTAAAGTGTATAGCTAATAGTTATACTAGTATACTAGCGGCCGGGGCCGTCGGGGCCGTCGTAGTGGTCGTAGCGGTAGTAGCGGGGGCCGTAAGTGCTACAACTACGGCGAGCTGGGCCATATGGCTAAAGCCTACCCTAAGGGGGAGAAGCCCGCTCCTCCTCCCTCATCTAAGCCCTCCGGGGTGACCAAGGTAAGTGGATACTCTTATCTACACCCAACACTGTCTTCTTCTTAAGAGGAAACATATTAACAGATATATAGTCACAGAAGCGCAAAGGCCGCGCGAACACGCGCCTGGATGCTGCCGCCGCCGCCGCCGCTGCTGCTACTGCTGCTGCCGCCGCCGCCGCCGCCGAACTTGCTGCTGCGGAGGCCGAGGCCGCTGCAGAGGCCGCCGACGGTGGTGAGGGCGAGGGCGAGGGCGAGGGCGAGGGCGAGGGCGCCCAGGGTGAGAGTGAGGGCGCTAAGGGCGCTGGTGAGGGCGGTAGTGAGGGGGGTGAGGGGGGTGAGGCGGGAGAGGAGATGATCTTCTCCGGCAGTGAGCTGGACCTTTCATAGGTCCCGAATACAAATTCATGGAAGGAGCCTGCCATCACAAATCTACTATGCCTTTTGTTCTAAGGTTCGTGATATAATGCTGTTCCACCTCGTATATGCGACCTTCCGCAGATCCCTCGCCCACGTACAACCATTCCGAGGAAGGCGATTGAAGTACCAAGAAAATCACAACTACTCGTCTGGGAAGAATAAATGGGAAGTTGATAAGCAAACAAAGCTTATGGTAATTATAGATGCTAAGTAATGGGAGCTGCCGCAGGGCGCAGCCGGCTGATGCTTAAGGCCATAGGCGCCTTAGGAACAGGATTTCTAGATTAGACCTGGCTTAGACTCGGTCCAGCGCACGAGGACGGGATGCCGTCGAACGCGCCCGCGGCGACGCAGCTCCACGATTCGCATCACGTGCCACGATGGCGGATCAGGGTCCTCCCCTACGAGAGTGCGCCCGCCGCCACCTTGTTTATTTACCCTTGCGCGTCACCCTCCAACACGCGTCACCCTCTATGCCTCTCCAGTGGATACGGAATCCATACCAAATTGAGCTTACCGGCACCGGGACTGCTACGATCCTCCGTCTATTTCCCGATTTCGGCTACATTAAAGCGTCCAACTTCGCTCGATCCGTGTTCTCTATCATCCACTCCCTCGTGCCCGATCTACTAAACTCCAGTACGAAGCTCTTCTCCTCTGACGATTTCTGCCGAATTCTTTCGATCCTATCGTCGGATCCCGACGCCTGGACACATATAGATATTACACACGCCCAAGGCGATTTCGCACGCTATAGGCACTACCGCAACGACGCGGACCCGCTTCCTACGGAAACCCCGCCTCTTCCACCCTCTCCATCTCAACACTTCAAGGCTCAGTTGACGGCCGCACTGATCCGGACACGAGCGGCACACCAATTCAGACCCATTATTCCCGCCGCTCGAATCCCCGCCACCCAAGCGACACCCCCCCAGACGCCGGCTCGTCTTCTCGCATAGAGCAATCTCCCAGTGCTGGCCCGAGCCAGTCTCCCGTTCCAGAACGTCCACAATCCCCCAGCGCGGATCCAACTTTATCTCTCACCCCCAACACGATGGCACCTCCTCACCACGGGCTCAGGTCCACAATCGTCTGGAAGTTCGGCGAGGGAACCGGCCTCAAATTTACCAGACCAGCCCAGACGATTGGGACCGCCAAGCACTCAGTCAAGTTTTCAGAAATCCGCCAACTGAAGCTCTATAATGCACCCATTAACGTTAGCGAGCAGTGTCTCCCGCCCGCTAACGTGATCCTCTCCAGCGAGCTAGCATATCGAGTCCTTCGCTGTGCTCTCGCAACAAGCTGTTTCTCGATGCGTCAATTGCACCAATATTGGCCTGCAAACTTTACATCGAAGGGCGCGCCGTGCGAGTATATTCCCCCCATGGGAAGGCCCGCCATCGTTGAAATGGAAGATGGAACGTGTGCCTTCGCTACCTATAATGGGTACACCTTTTGTGGGGCATTCGGTTTCAACCAGCTCGTCGCGCAAGCCGGCGGCTCAGAAACCAATGCCGTTACCCTCCGAGGATGGTTCGAACCAGAAGACCGCCACGCCGGATTGGGCTCTACCACCAGGTTCGAACCCGAACAGTTCGCCCGCCGTGATCCCAGCAATCATGGCACACCGGATCCCGAACGGATGTCTCAATCGGACCGCTGGCACCCCGCTCTAAAGCGAGTCTTAAAGGACTACAACGACGGCCGCCTCCCATTCCGACCCGGTATCCCCTCACCTACGCACCCCGACCTTCAACCCTATGGCGACTCAGTCTTCTCCAACCTGAGACAGGCAAAGAGGATCGGAACCAACGTTTCCTGGGCTCGTACCATGGTCGATCCTCTTGATCCGATCACCATGGCCGAGATTCCGGACGTCTTGGAAAGGTCCGCCGTCAAGGCGAAGACCCAGCCGCACAAGCTGGATCCCCGTACGCTAGCGGCACTGGCGGAAATCCTAGGCACTATTGTGCTTGGCCCCGGCTGCCTCAAGGGGCACGTCGTCATAGTGGTGGGCACTCTGGATATATTCCAGAGACACGTCGAGCTCGGAACCTGGCTACAGGAACATGGGGCCATCGTTGAATTGCAGCTATCTGCTAGGACGACAACGGTCTTAAAGGGCAAGGTTGAACCGGACAATAAGCTCATTAAGGATATATTGGCTCAGAGACGCAAAGGCCAGATAATCGAGATCTTCTCGGAGAGAGATTTTTTCGACACTCTCAAAGAACTGAACGCGCCAGATGCCGACCAAGAGTCGGCACCAGATACCCCAACTCCTGGCCCGAGCCGCCTCCCGCCGGTGGGGCCTTCAACGCCGACGCCGCTCCCCAAAGCCGTCCACAAGGGCAAGACCAACGCGACTCAGGTCGCGATCGCAGCAACCCCGTCCACCCCAAGGCCCAGTTTGCCTGAAAAGGGCTACGCGTTGGGGAGAATCGCCTTGCAATTTACGACCCACGCCACGCACGGCGCGGAATTGGTTACGTTTAATACGTACCAAAAGTTACACGGCAAAAGGGAGAAGACGAATGAGGCACTAGTTGCTCTTTCGGAGACGATTGACGGCGTATCTGACACTAACACTCAACAGCTCCTTAGACGCGCACTAGCGAATCTGGATACGCGCCTCCAATCTGAATCCAGGACGTTGCAGGAACAGGCGGAGAAGCACTCTAACAATCACGATATAGCCATCTCCAACCTATTCAGATCCTTACAGGAGCTTATTGGGGACGATTTACCGGAGGAAATCCGGTCGTACGCTATGAGGACCGGTGCCAACCGCGTGGAGACGCATGGCGAACTCAAACCCCTTCAGTTCCCGGGTGGATGGTACACCCACCCAAACGAAGACCAAATGGCGGCGTTCAGAGCGGACGTAGCGGGAGGAACTACTACTAACCTTGAATACCACGTCCCTCCAAAGCCGCCAACTCCCAAGAAGCGGTTTGCAGCAGAAGAACTTACCTCGCCGTAGAGTAACAAACAGCGTATCCTCACTATCTCCTCGGATGAAGAGTCCGATTAGAGAACTTACGGGTTCAGTATTAATAGTCCGTAACCGTCTAGGGAGATCGCGACGCTAAACTATACCTTTAGAATATTATCTTACTTTAAGTTCTTGTATTACTACTAACACTATCCGGAGTGTGATCACGACGGATGGGGTCTCAAGTAAGGAAAAGCATAAATAATAATGGTATCTCGATCCGCGAGGATCGAGAACCTCTATCTACTCTAGCGTACGGCTATCTAACTAGCCGCTCTATACTAGGAAACCGAACCTAGGAACCGGATACCTGGAACTAGATACTAGAATCGCGATATAGGAAGGCGATACTAGTATCGAGATACGGAAAGATAACCCTAGTATCGAGATACGGGAAGGAGATACTAGTATCCTATAACGACTCTAGACTAGAGGACCGTAATACTTTCTAACCTCCGGCGGGCCGTAGATAGTAACCCCGTTTAAAATACGTTCCTCTAATAGTAGATTAATCTTATCGAAATCGAGTCCGGCTATTTCGTAGAGAGCCGGATCGAGCGCGTTAGCTCGGGAGACCTCGTAGTCTAATATCTTATCGAGTAGATACTTTCTCTAAATCTTAACGGAATTATTAGAGTCGTTATAGATTTATATAGACTCCGTATTCCGATCTAGAATATAGATATACGCTATAAGAGTTCTAGATCGCCTTAGGGCTATACTAGCTATAGATAGAGAAACGAATTTAAAGTCTCTACTAGATAGAAGGGCCTTAGCGAAATAAATCTTAATTAGCGCGATCGACTTCGGCGGAATAGTCGTCGCTATAATAGTCTAAGCTTTAAGATCTTTAACGCGGAATTTAGATTATAGTTAAGTTTAGACGGGTACCTACGCTTCTTAGTAACTACTAATACGTAGTAGATTCGCCGCCGGGTCGATAGAGATATTCTTCGGGCCGAGAATATCGACGCCTAGTAGTATAGCGCCGCCGTAATTATCGACTAAATAGATCTCGCGGATAAACTCTATCTAAATCTATAATTCCTTAAGAAAAGCTTAGAAGGCGAATTTAAGAAGATAATACTTCGAGCTTCGTAGAGGGTATTCGCCGACTCTTTCTACGCTAATAGGCTTAGATATCGCGATTAGCTAAAAGGCCGCGCCGGCCCTACGGAGAGCGATCTTATTAATAATAGATATAGTATAACTAGAGTCGATAATATAGTCTAACTCGTTTAGCGCTTCGCCGAGTCTCGCTCTAGCGACGGCGTAGTTCTAGTTATAAAATTTCTAGCCGGGCTTTACTTCTAGAGCTACTTTAGATAGAATAAGCTTTAACGGCTCGTCTAGAGCTTAGTCGAAAGAAGAATCGATATACTTCTATTTTAAATTCTTTATAGTAGCGGAAGCCTTAGCGGCTTAGAATAGTAATACTCTCTTCTTCGAGTAATTCTAGCGGATATACTTATATAGCTTATTACGGGAGGACTATTACTTTTCGTAATACGCGTAGCGTAACTAAGCTAAATTAATAGTATTATCTACGAACTTAGCTTAAATAGAAACTAAAACCGGATTCTTATTTAAGCTATACTCGGTCGTAGCCGTAGCGTACTACGAGAATACGATAACCGGCTTAGAAATAGTACGTAAAAATCTAGCGAAAGATAAAGCCTCTAACGAAGTATTTAAGGCCCGAAAGAAAGAGTCTTTAAAAGGCTAGCTACTAGCTCGATTAGAGCTTTAATCTAAAGCGAAGAGAGTCGATAATAGAGATCTCGCGTTTTTAGAGAAAGATAAGATATCTATATCCGCGTAGTATATATACGCTAACTTAGACTTATTATCGGCGCGCTTCTTATTTCTATTAGAATCTCGATTTTTATTACGATCGCGGTTTCTATCTCCGTTACGGCCCTAGAATCGATTATAATTACCGTTAGATAGATAATAAGAATTCTTCTTAGAAGAGCGATCGCGCGCCGGCTTCGGCGACTTATCTCGAAAATAGAATTAGCTCGATTCCGCGCTTTTAAAAGATTTAAACGGCTTATTTCTTCGCGTAGTAGATGCGCGCTTATTCTTATCTTTAACGAGATTAGATTATAGAAACTATTACTCCTCTACCCGTCTAACGTACCGGTCGACGGTAGTATATCTAGAGAGGGGTTTAAAATCGCGCCGAAATTAAATATAGATTCTCTCGTAAGCTTATAGAAGCTAATTCTCGATAGACGAAATATCTATATTCTTCGCTAATCGAATATACTTAGTAATAAATCGTTTAATAGGTTTACCGTCGCGTATCTTAAAGAATTTAAATCTCTTACGTTAAAGCTTACGTTAGACCTTTATTAGTCTACGACGAAAGCGGTCGACTAGCTTAGTCTTCTAACGTTTAATACCGATATCGCCGCGGAGATACTTTCTCTTAGCGTAAGTAAGCTATCTAATATACTACGCCTAAGCTAATTTATAGAGGTATTTATATAGGTTTTTACGAATAGAATCGCTCGCGGTAGAGTAAAGTTTACTCTTAACCGCCTTAACGAATTAGCGTACGTTCTAATAGAAGAACTTATTCTTTTTATTAATTATATTCTCGTTCTCGTTATCTTAGACCTTAATATAAGAATTAAAGAAACTAACGTCCTCTAGTTTAAACTTCTATAAAGTAGCTCTATAATCGAATTTCTTATCGTTAAAATTAGATTTAGTAAGCTTTTTAGTACGCGTAGACTCGTTAGAAGAGAAATCTTTAAAATCGAGACTATAAGACCTCTCTCGAGTAGTAGTCTCGTACTTACGGCGGGTTTACTCGGTAAAGAAAAGAGACGGGCGCTACGAATTTACGTTAGATCGAGTTCTAGCGCGCTACTTTTAAGAAGCCGTAGAGCTAGATTTAAATCTTACGTATTACTTTTACGAGGCTAAAATACGACTCCGCGTATTCGGGTTAGATAAGAGGCCGGCCTTCTTAAGTCTAAGGCGATAATTAAAGATTATAAACTCTTCGCTAATAAGCTTCTTAACTATAATAGCTATCTTACTAAAGAAAGCGTCCTTTAGATTCGCGGGGAAAGGCGATAGCGAAGTCGCTTTCGCTTAAATCTTAACGGCGTACTCTACTATTATTAAGTCGAGTTTAGATTAGATATAGAGACGAGCTTAACTCTAGTTTAATAAAGGCGGTATATTAGAATCGTATTCTTTATTAAAGAAACCGCGACTAGTCTTTTTTTCCTTAGAGCCTTAGGAGCCTTAAAAAAATATAACTTTAGAAGAAGAGATATTTCTACGTTCTAGTAAGAAAGTATTAGGCTATCGCTTTAGAACTAGAATAACTTAGTTAAACCTCTTAGTTCGCTCCGCCCTTAGTATCGATAGTAGCGACTAACTTAGCGAGGGAGAAACTAGAAAGGTTTTAAATAAGAGTAATAGCTTCTAGATAAAGATAGAAGCGGATAAAAAGAATAGAAGCGGTAGAGGCTACTTAGACGACGTAGTTCTATTAAAGAGTAACTCTAGTAGAAGCGATAAGAAAGAACTAGATAACGTTCTTCGAGAATTTAAAGAAGTAACGCTAGAAAGATAAAACTCGTCTAGTAGATCGCTAGATTTAAAGTCTTCTTAGAATAACTAGTCGTAGGCTATCTAATACTTATCGATAATCTTCTAGACTCGTAAATCCCGTATCTACTAAGAAGAGAATACGTTAGTAGTAAAACGTCTTATAGCGTATTATACTTTAGTTAGAGCGTTAACTATAAGAGTCTACTTAAGAGAATATAGAAGTAAAGCGTCTTCTTCGATAGATACTCGGATATTTCTAGTTAGCCGTCCGATAGGTTTTCCGGATAAGAAAGATTTATCGTAGAATTCTCGTACGGCGAAGGCTAATAGAATAGCCTCGCCGTCGTACTCGAGAAGGGTCTTTCGGTTCTTATTATTTTCTTACTAAAAGATAACGAGGTAGTATATAGTCTAGATAACTAAGTCGGGAAGTAGTATAGTAGCTAGAATTACGATTAGTATAGATAGAAATCGGCTAGTAGAAAGGAGGGGTAAAGAAGAAAAAGTTAGAGAAAGAGAGAAACTAGAACCCGTTCGCCGGACGGTTTACGCCCTTATTAAAATTAAAAACTATTAACGGGCGAGTATACGCTACTATAAGAGTAGACGAGAGTTAGACTAAGATAGTAAAGTCTAACGAAACGAGAAAAGTACTAACTAAAGACGGATACGGAAGAGGAAAACCGAAATCTAAAAACTCCGATTTATAATATCTAGTCTTCTAGATTCTCGACGGGAGCTTTCTTTCTTCTACGATTAAAAGACCGCCGACGGTCGTAAAAAGCGAAATAAAGTATAGTATAAGAGACGATAAGGCTCGATAGACTTCGTCCTTAATAACTCGGTAGTAAATAAAAGCGAAAGCGTTTTATTTTAAGCGGAAGCGTAGTAATATCGTCTTAAAGAAATAAAAGAGAATATAGCTTATTCTATTAGCGGAGAAAACTTCTAGTATAGTTAGAGAAGAACGATTAGTCTAGTAGATCTAAATCCTAGTAGCGGTAATTAAGTAGTAAAAATATCTTTTAGCTACTAAGTAATACTATTATCTATAGTATTACGATAGACAGGGTCTCGAGTAAGAAAAAATATAAATAATAATAGTCGAGTCTCGATCTATAAGAATCGAGAACTCGTATCTACTCTAGCGTAGCTATTTAAAGAGAACTCTATACTAGAAAACCGATTCTAGAAACTAGATATCTAGAACTAGATACTAGAATCGAAATATAGAAAGGCGATTCTAGTATCGAAATATAGAAAGGCGATTCTAGTATTAAGATACGGAAAGACGATTCTAGTATTAGAAAGTAGAAAGATAACCCCGATATTAGAAGTAGAAAGATAACCCCGATATTAAAAGTAGAAAGATAATACTAGTATTAACTCTAGACTCGAGAACTATAATAATT